ACACACACACATACACACACAGATTCCCTTTTATTCCCCTTGAGGAAATAAAGACATCAGATATATTCGAGCTTTTTACGAGATCCCTTTTAGTCCTCATTTTCAGATTTGTGATTCCAACTTAAATATTCATAATAAAAGTTACCAACTTCGCGTGCGCACAATAATTTAAATCATTAAAAAAAACATAAAGATCTACAGAATCTAAAGCAGCAGAATCATCAAAAAAATATAATTAATAAAGCCCACTTAAAAGATGCTTGAGAATTTTAACTAATTAATTAATACCTTTTTAAGAGCTTTTCAACTTCAAGTGGCAAAAAGGTACAAACTCGACAATTATATCGACAAATTATATCGACAAATTATATAATCCCAGATCAGAAAACAGCAGATTTGAACCAACAGACGCAATAAGCGAAGCCCAAATCCTGAGGATTAACAATAAGGGGGAAAAAGATTCAGACTTGAGGCTGGAAGCTGTAACACAAGAATTCAAGAACAGTTGAGAGTTTAGCTAAACTTGCAGAGGAAAAAAGAAAAGGCTTTATATTAAGCAAGGAAAAGCAAAATTGCAGCATTGAAATAGATATCGGATGAGGAAATTGAAGTGGTGGTTGGTTAGAATAATGTAGAAATGCAGCTGTTGTGTTACAGAAATGGTGGGTGTGTTGAATCTTGTGAGGGGTTTTATTGTGGTTTAGTTGTCAGAGTGTGAGTTTGTGAGTTTGTGTGTGTGTGTGTGTGTGTTGATAAGCATGTGAACAGTGGAAAAGTGGGAGTCAGGACTGAAGGAGAAAGATAAAATAAATATGAAATAGAAAAAAGGAGAAAAATCTGTAATGTGACCAAAGTCCAAACACAGGACAGCCAGCACATTGGTTTTGTTTTTGGTTTGAATTTTCGTTTTACTTTGGAATGAATGAGATGGTAGAGAAGGTAAAACAAGTGTTAGGAATAGAGTAGTTGTATTATGTATTGTAGAGTTTGATTAGAATAACGGAGACCAATATAAGTGAGAGCTCATTTTTTGTCTTTATATACATATACATGCTTTTGTGATTAAACATTAGTTTTTTTTTTCCACATTCTCCCATGGTATCAGATTAAGTTTAGAGTTTAATATAGGCTTGATTTTTTGTCGCTCGTCTCCGGCCTTCGTCAACTCTCACATCCTACACCATTCTCTCAGGCATCCTCCGGCGAGCCGACGCTCAAAATTTTGGCCCATTTGCTGGCGCGTGGAGCCCACACGTGCCCCGTCTCTACGACAGCCCCGACAGCTTCAGCCGGCGCGTGGGACCCACCCCCAGCTCCGATCACCGCAGTTTTTCAGTCGTCGAATCCTCTCATCGGCAGCTACGTCTTGGTGTGGTCGGTTTTATTTTCGTGACGTTTTTAATTGTTGCCCGTATTGATATTTTGACGGTTCCGTGTCCAATTCGTGCCTATATTTTCATTTATTTCGTGCTATTTTGTTGATCTGATTTTTGGATATGAATCGTATGGATGTGCATTCTCCTATTAGTGTTGTCTTGTCAGGGGATAATTATAGTACTCGGGCATAGTCTATGAAGAGTTTTTAAATTGAGAGAAAATTGTGGCAGATTGTGACTGGTGATGTGTTGTCACCTCTGCATCCGTCTCTTTCATGGGATCCCAACCCTACACCACAGCCTACAGGCTCTTACAACTTACGTCGATAAGTTGGAGGATTGGGATAGTAAGAACCATCAGATTTTTATTTGGTTACGTAATACTTCAGTCCCTGCTATTCAGGTGCAGCTTCCCCGTTTGACAGTTGCAAAGGAGGCTTGGAATTTTTTGGCTGCTCGATTTTAGACTACAGTCTTGGCTCACTATTATCAGCTTTGGAGCACCTTGCATTCCACCAAGCAGCAACCGGGTCAATCGATCAGTGAGTTTCTTGCACAAGTTCAACTTATCCGGTATCGTCTCCGACAGGCTGAGATTAGTCTGAATCACCTTGATCTTGTTCAAATTTTGATGGCTCTTTGTCTGAGTATAAAGTTGTTAGTGCTTCTCTCTTATATCGCATCTACTACCTACTCTTGATGCTGCTATTCAAGAGATCACTTTTGAGGAGACTCTTCTTCAGTTGGCCAGGACACCACAGCTTGAATCTGTATTAGTTGTACCTACTTCTGCTTCCGCTCCGTCACATCAGCCACAACCACCAGTCTTTGTTTATTGTAGGTGTCGCAGAAGCTCTGGTCACCCTTTTGCCACTTGTCCTAAAGTTGAGTGCCACATCTGCCATGTTCGAGGTCATATTGTTTCAAATTGTCCAGCCAAATCATAACGTTCTTCGATTGCAGTTGCTATCACTAATGAGCCTAAACACTCGTCTTACAGTCTTCAAGACATAGAAGTTATTCTCAAACAGGTTATCCATTACAATTTTGCTATGTCTGCTACCGCAGGTAACCCTCATTGGTACTTTGATTTTGGTTGTTGCAATCACATGACCTCTAGTCCACAGTTCTTGTCTTTCTCGTCTTCCGTAACTTCTTTACCTCTTATACATACTGCCAGTGGTACCTATATGAATATTACTCACACTGGTCTGGTTTCTTCTCCTTTCTTTACACCTTCCCGACACATACTGCATTCCTGACTTGGCCTTGAATCTAATTTTTGTTGGTCAATTGGTTGAACAGGGCCTTAATATTATATTTTCATCTTCTGGTGTTCAGGTTCAGGATACACAGATGGGTCGACTTCTCGGGATGCGTCGCAAGATGGCCAGTTATTTGAGCTTGAGTCTTTTAATATCCTTCGTTCTTCCTCATTTTCTGTTCGTCAGCAAAAGTAAGTCCAGCTTTCAATGGCATCTTCGTCTTGGGCATGCATTCGTTCTGTAGATAATAGAGGTACTTTAGGTCCAGGTCATTTTGAGTCTTTTAGTTGTTTGTCTTCATTGTAAACTTGAGAAACACTATGTTCTTATTTTTTTCTAAGAATTTTCAACTGTTGATAAACCTTTTGGTTTGGTACATTCTGATATTTGGGATCCTTATCTGATTGCTTCTATGAATGGTTTTTGGTACTTTTCTATTTTTGTTGATGATTTTTCTCGTTTTACCTGGATCTATTTTCTCAAACACTATTCTGAGTTGCATACCATATATATTTAATTTGTTAGAATTATTCACACATAAATTTTTTGCCCTATAAAGGTCTTGTGTACTGACAATGCCCTTCAGTACAAGGATTCTACATTTTTAAAATTTCTTTCTGATCAGGGCACAGTAGTTCAACATTCATTTCTTTATACTTCTCAACAAAATGGACGAGTTAAACGTAAGCATCGTCACATTCTTCATATTGTTTGTGCTCTTCTTCTTTCTGCTAAATGTCCTGATCGTTTCTGAGGTGAAGAGTCTTGACTGCTATTTATGTTATCAATCGATTACTCTCACCAGTTCTTCGAGATATCAGTCCTTTTGAAAGGTTGTATGGTCAGTCGCCTGATTATACTCAGTTATGCCCTTTTGGTTGTGTTTTCTTTGTTCTTCTCCTATCCTATGAGCAGAACAAATTAGAACCTCGAGCTCATCTGTGTTATCTTTGGGTTATAGAATAGAACACAAAGAGTTTAGGTATTGGGATACTATTGCTAATCGGTCGCGTATTTCGCGTCCCGTTACCTTTTGAGAGCATACTACTTTTTCTTATTTGTCTAAATTGCATATTCCGTTTGATTCGTCATCCCCTTTCTTCATTTTTGTTACTTCGGATCTCTTTCTAGATACTTGTCCTGGATCACAGCTCATTGACACGCTTGTCATGCCTCCGTCTTCTGAAGTGGCTCCACCTGCGGATCCTGAGCTGGCGCTTCTTGTTGAGTCCTCTTTTGGTTCTGTTCCTTCGCCTACCATTGATCACCGACAATCAACTCGTGTAATTCGTCCCCCTTCTCACTTACTTGACTATTATTGTTATTCGGCCATCATAGCTCATCATGAGCCTAGATCTTCCGCGAGGCGAGTGCCGGTCCATTGTGAAAACAAGCTATGGCTGAGGAATTGAAGGCGTTGGAGAAGACTCATACTTGGGATTTGGTGGATCTAACTGCTTGAAAGACACCCATCGAATGCAGGTTTATAAGATCAAGACAAATTCACGATGGTTGCTACAAAACTTGTCTGGTTGCTAAGGGGTACTCATTGAAGTAAAACATCGATTATGAAGAGACCATTGCACCAGTTGCTTGTCTTGCAACTGTTGGGT